ATTGAAACTTTGCATAAATATTTTAGTGCTTAAAACAAATGCAAATAAAACATCTTAAATTTTTTTGAAGCAAAGAACCAAGAAGGAAATACATTTTCAATTTTGGACTAGGGGCGACCCTAGTCAAAATCAATTTTGTCACTTTTTTCTTCGAGGGTTTATCCAAATGGATTGAAACTTTGCATAAATATTCAAGTGCTTAAAACAAATACAAATAAAACATCCTAAAATTTTTTTTGAGCAAAGAACCAAGTAGGAAATACATTTTCAATTTTGGACAAGGGGCGACCCTAGTCAAAATCAATTTTGTCACTTTTTTCTTCGAGGGTTTATCCAAATGGATTGAAACTTTGCATAAATATTCTAATACTTAAAACAAATACAAATAAAACATTTTTGAGCAAAGAACCAAAAAGGAAATACATTTTCAATTTTGGACCAGGGGCGACCCTAGTCAAAATCAATTTTGTCAATTTTTTCTTCGAGGGTTTGTCCAAATAGATTGAAACTTTGCATAAATATTTTAGTGCTTAAAACAAATGCAAATAAAACATCTTAAATTTTTTTGAAGCAAAGAACCAAGAAGGAAATACATTTTCAATTTTGGACTAGGGGCGACCCTAGTCAAAATCAATTTTGTCACTTTTTTCTTCGAGGGTTTATCCAAATGGATTGAAACTTTGCACAAATATTCAAGTGCTTAAAACAAATACAAATAAAATATCCTAAAATTTTTTTTGTGCAAAGAACCAAGTAGGAAATACATTTTCAATTTTGGACTAGGGGCGACCCTAGTCAAAATCAATTTTGTCACTTTTTTCTTCGAGGGTTTATCCAAATGGATTGAAACTTTGCATAAATATTCTAATACTTAAAACAAATACAAATAAAACATTTTTGAGCAAAGAACCAAAAAGGAAATACATTTTCAATTTTGGACCAGGGGCGACCCTAGTCAAAATCAATTTTGTCAATTTTTTCTTCGAGGGTTTGTCCAAATAGATTGAAACTTTGCATAAATATTTTAGTGCTTAAAACAAATGCAAATAAAACATCTTAAATTTTTTTGAAGCAAAGAACCAAGAAGGAAATACATTTTCAATTTTGGACTAGGGGCGACCCTAGTCAAAATCAATTTTGTCACTTTTTTCTTCGAGGGTTTATCCAAATGGATTGAAACTTTGCATAAATATTCAAGTGCTTAAAACAAATACAAATAAAACATCCTAAAATTTTTTTTGAGCAAAGAACCAAGTAGGAAATACATTTTCAATTTTGGACAAGGGGCGACCCTAGTCAAAATCAATTTTGTCACTTTTTTCTTCGAGGGTTTATCCAAATGGATTGAAACTTTGCATAAATATTCTAATACTTAAAACAAATACAAATAAAACATTTTTGAGCAAAGAACCAAAAAGGAAATACATTTTCAATTTTGGACCAGGGGCGACCCTAGTCAAAATCAATTTTGTCAATTTTTTCTTCGAGGGTTTGTCCAAATAGATTGAAACTTTGCATAAATATTTTAGTGCTTAAAACAAATGCAAATAAAACATCTTAAATTTTTTTGAAGCAAAGAACCAAGAAGGAAATACATTTTCAATTTTGGACTAGGGGCGACCCTAGTCAAAATCAATTTTGTCACTTTTTTCTTCGAGGGTTTATCCAAATGGATTGAAACTTTGCATAAATATTCAAGTGCTTAAAACAAATACAAATAAAACATCCTAAAATTTTTTTTGAGCAAAGAACCAAGTAGGAAATACATTTTCAATTTTGGACAAGGGGCGACCCTAGTCAAAATCAATTTTGTCACTTTTTTCTTCGAGGGTTTATCCAAATGGATTGAAACTTTGCATAAATATTCAAGTGCTTAAAACAAATACAAATAAAACATCCTAAAATTTTTTTTGAGCAAAGAACCAAGTAGGAAATACATTTTCAATTTTGGACTAGGGGCGACCCTAGTCAAAATCAATTTTCTCACTTTTTTCTTCGAGGGTTTATCCAAATGGATTGAAACTTTACATAAATATACAAATAAAACATCTTAAAATGTTTTTGAGCAAAGAACCAAGTAGGAAATACAATTTCAGTTTTGGACTAGGGGCGACCCTAGTCAAAATCAATTTTGTCACTTTTTTCTTCGAGGGTTTATCCAAATGGATTGAAACTTTGCATAAATATTCAAGTGCTTAAAACAAATACAAATAAAACATCTTAAATTTTTTTGGAGCAAAGAACCAAGTAGGAAATACATTTTCAATTTTGGACTAGGGGCGACCCTAGTCAAAATCAATTTTGTCACTTTTTTTTCGAGGGTTTATCCAAATGGATTGAAACTTTGCATAAATATTCTGGTGCATAAAACAGATGCAAATAAAACATCCTAAATTTTTTTTGAGCAAAGAACCAAGAAGGAAATACATTTTCAATTTTGGACTAGGGGCGACCCTAGTCAAAATCAATTTTCTCACTTTTTTCTTCGAGGGTTTATCCAAATGGATTAAAACTTTGCATAAATATTCAAGTGCTTAAAACAAATGCAAATAAAGCAATTTAAATTTTTTTTGAGCAAAGAACCAAGTAGGAAATACATTTTCAATTTTGGACTAGGGGCGACCCTTGTCAAAATCAATTTTGTAACTTTTTTCTTCGAGGGTTTATCCAAATGGATTAAAACTTTGCATAAATATACAAATAAAACATCCTAAAATTTTTTTGAGCAAAGAACCAAGTAGGAAATACAATTTCAATTTTGGACTAGGGGCGACCCTAGTCAAAATCAATTTTGTCACTTTTTTCTTCGAGGGTTTATCCAAATGGATTGAAACTTTGCATAAATATTCAAGTGCTTAAAACAAATACAAATAAAACATCCTAATTTTTTTTGAGCAAAGAACCAAAAAGAAAATACATTTTCAATTTTTGACTAGGGGCGACCCTAGTCAAAATCAATTTTGTCACTTTTTTCTTCGAGGGTTTATCCAAATGGATTGAAACTTTGCATAAATATTTTAGTGCATAAAACAGATGCAAATAAAACATCTTAAAATTTTTTTTGAGCAAAGAACCAAGAAGGAAATACATTTTCAATTTTGGACTAGGGGCGACCCTAGTCAAAATCAATTTTGTCACTTTTTTCTTCGAGGGTTTATCCAAATGGATTGAAACTTTGCATAAATTTTCTAGTGCTTAAAACAAATACAAATAAAACATCTTAAAATTTTTTTGACCAAAGAACCAAGTAGGAAATATATTTTCAATTATGAACTTGGGAAACTTTGTGTGAGTATACTAATATTTATACAAAACAGTTTTAAATATCTAAAGCAAGAAATGAATTCTATATGTCGTCAGACCCAAATTTTATAAATTTGGTTGTTCATTCAAAAACAACTTGACTTAAAATTTTGTCCCAAAAAATGATTTTTATTAATTTAGAAATGTGTGACCTGAGGATTATAATGCTCATACAAAGTTTTACTGTATTTGGATTTATCTTTGAAGAAAAAAAAAGTGAAAAACTAGATTTTGACTGGACCTGTCCCAAGTTCATAATTGAAAATGTATTTCCTACTTGGTTCTTTGCTCAAAAAAATTTTAGGATATTTTATTTGTATTTGTTTTAAGCACTAGAATATTTATGCAAAGTTTCAATCCATTTGGATAAACCCTCGAAGAAAAAAGTGACAAAATTGATTTTGACTAGGGTCGCCCCTAGTCCAAAATTGAAAATGTATGTCCTTCTTGGTTCTTTGCTCAAAAAAATTTTAGGATGTTTTTTTTGTATTTTTTTTAAGCACTAAAATATTTATGCAAAGTTTCAATCCATTTGGATAAACCCTCGAAGAAAAAAGTGACAAAATTGATTTTGACTAGGGTCGCCCCTAGTTTAAAATTGAAATTGTATTTCCTACTTGGTTCTTTGCTCAAAAAAATTTTTTTCATTCAAAGTTTAATTTAAAAAAAAATCACAGTGAACTTTTAGTTTGAAAATTCGTAAGAAAGGAAAGTTTTTTGCTTTTTCTGAAGCAACGGCTGTTCCTACCTTGCCTAAAAACAATACAGCTCTTCTATAGAGCAGCACGGATCAAATGTAAAAAACTAGAAGTCTCTACATTGTCTCTTTATTGAGATTTCTTGCTGATTAACTTGCTTGCGTGCTTGCTTGTTTGCTTACAGAAAGCGTATTTTGCGATTTTCTCAGCAATGCCATAATCAATTTGAAATCTGTTTTTTGAAAATGATGTAAATTTTCAGGCACAAACTTTTCATTTCTGAACATTTTAAGCTATCTTGCTCCATATCCTCACAAAATTCAAAAAACTGATTTTTCAATCTGAACAAAACCAATAGATTCACACGTGAAACGGTGTGAATATAACAAGTCAAATATTGCAATATTTAATTTATATATACCTTTTTTTATTTTTCAGCTCAAAATTGAATAGTCTTTATTTAAAATCAAATATTTGCTTATTTGATTTTATCTGAACTTAACGGTTTTTGTGAAATTTAAACCGATCATTGTAAAATTTTTGAATCTTATATTCGAATATTTCCATAATGCAATATCTTTAAAGCATGATGCGTATACGCAATACATGTGGGTAGATCTTTGAATAAGTGTTGAAGTTATGACTTTACTTATCGAGGTCACTACAAATGCTCTAAGACACGAAAAGTGTTTAATTTTGTGAATCCAACAATTCTTAAACTGTAGTACGTGAATTTACATCTCGTGACTACGGAAAAGAACTCATTGAGGCTGATAAGAGATATTTAAAACCATTTAAACACCATGATTCTTAGACAATGCATTGAGTATTAATTTCCATAGTTTCATCGACTACATCTATTGATATAAGCTTTTTGATTTGATGGCACGTTTCGGCAATTTTGTTGAAATTAATTAATTAATCGATTCCAAAAATCCGTTAAAAAGTCAAAACTTAAAATTAGTCATGTTAAATATATTAAAAATTTAGAAAAAGTCATGATGTCTAAAATAATTAGGAATTTTTGTTTTTATTATTTCTTTTCAGATTTTGTAAACATTAATACCACTTTCATATTCACACAAAATTTTCAATTTTTGTGAATATATTTTTAATTTGTTTTTATCTGAAATTAGTTTTTTTGTCATATCGAGAGCAACGTCGTTTTAAGAATCACACAAAGCTACTAGTTGGTTCATCGAGATATGGAATGTCATTTGATGAGTTCCTTCTATCTAACATACCCTTATTGACATCTTCTGTGATTTTATAAAAGTTTCTTTTGGGTGGAAGTTTTGGGGGCTTTTGTTCGATCTCATTATTTTTAAAATCACGATGGTTAAAAACCATTGTTGTATCTAAAAAAAGATAAATTAGTGTCAATTTGGTAGCTATTTTTTGTAATTAGATTGATTTAGGAGCACATACCGCCATATATATCTGTACTATAAAAATCGTCGGAATGTCTACTTTTAATAACTGGCATGCATTGAGTTGATAGATTTAAATTGATTGGTGTATTTGACCTTGAGTTCATTAAGATTGCATTTTCTAGACTATTAATTTTTGACTGTACTGAAGAAATTTCAAGCGATGATTTTATTGGACTTTTACCCAAAGACGTACGAGGCAGAGGTTGTGGAGGCTTTTGCTGTTGAGATGGAGAAATATTCAGTTTAGTGTAATCATTTCTATTTGGCGATAATGATTCTACATTGCTATATAAGCTTAATGGATTTGATGAGGAATCATCTTGAGTTGTTTTTCGAAGCTTTTGACCAAACTTATTTCTGTCCTTTAGAAATTCGGGTAGTTCAAAATTTATATCAGTTCCTCGTTGATCTTCAATTCGTAGACATTGTGCACGTTTCAGATTTTCTAACAGCGATTCTGGAAGAATAATGGATGCACCTAAATTTATATTGAACTATTATTTGTGAGCTTGTAGCCAAAATTACCGTCATTTGTACTACGATTATTATTGACTTGAAGCTTCTGATTGCCAGCTTTCCACTTTGCAATCAATGGCTTTTTAATTCCATTTATATCACTCTCAATTTCTTCAGATCCTGCAGAACTCTTGCTCATAGCTTTTTGTGATTTTTTGTTCTGCCTTCGAATACGATTGAAAATTCCTGAAGATGTTTCAGTTTCCGATCCAAAGTCTTCTGACTATAGATGCATCCAAAAAGTGAATAAATTGATTAAACTTGACAGTTGATTAAGGCAAACCCTATACTCACTTTAATTGAACCTTGATCGCCAATTCGATTAGTTTCATTTCCCATTTCATTGTCCGTACTCTTGCATTGTAATACTTCATTGAAAACTTTATTTGTAATTTCGTCTAACGTGTTAAGCTGCGGATTACTTATACTTGATACTAATTTGTGTGCCCGTACGAAAGTAACAGGTGCATTTCTCAGGTCGAAATTAAGAAGAATCGGTTTTTGACCAACATCAGTTATTTTATTATTGGATGAATTCTCATTTTTAAAAAGAATCTGCAATCTTAGTCCATCAACTGTTGTAACGTGATGCTTAATATCGATAAAATCATTATTTTCCTTTGAAAATAAATGAACCATATCCAATCGATAGCTATATTTGTGAAGAATAGGACGTAAGACTTCGTAGAGCAATTTACACGGTTTACTTTTTACCGATATGACTTTTCGATTTGGCAAGTCTAATTTAAATACTACTCGTTGCTCAATAAACACTTCATTTCCCGCTAGTTCCTTTGATACAACGTCCAAGTTTAGAGGCTGAAAAATTTGTTAAAAATAAAACTTTAAAGAATAGTAAAATAAAGAAATAAACTCATTTCGCAGATTCAATATATATATATATATATGTACATAGATGAAAGTACTAAACATTTTATGAAGTACAAACGGAAATGGACGAATAACTTGAATTTATTAGAAGCTCAAAGAAGAATTGCTAGCTTACCTTAGTCGTGCCACTTAGGAAAACTTCATATGCTTGATATGAGAAGCCTCTCTTATCTAATACTCTTTCTACGAGTTCTCGTACCGTTTCGTCATGCTTGATTTGAACTATTGTAGTTGCACCATTCTCTTTTAAAATCACTCTGCAAAGTGAATTTCTTGTTTCATCATCGAATGTTGATATTTTCGCTATTGCGGCGTCAAAAGATGATAAGGAACTCCTTGAACTGTGAATATCTCCTCCTGAGTGATTTGAGTTATGTTTTAATGTATTCGATGATGATGTTGAATTTTTCTTATTATCTTCTTCACGGTCCTTTGACTTGCAACGAGTTCTTCGATGCCACGGCAATAAAGATTTACGTCTCCGATCTTCCGCATTACTTAGTGATTTCTTCAATTTTGATGCGATATTATTATTTGTATTTTGCTGACTACTCGACAGAACAGTAATCTTAAGTAACGGATCTAAACTCTCCGTTGCATATGGCAATTGTGTATTTTTTCGTTCTGCCTGAATGCAATTTTTATACAAATCGCTTCGTATAAAGCGCTGATAGCTATCAAATTTCATCAGATTGAAAATTTGTTTTTGTGCTGATGCGAAAAGATCAATATTGGCTTTCGATAGGCCGTCACGTGTCGAGTTTCTTGCATTACAGTCTACATTTACGGGCTCTAAAGCACCATTTGCCAAATGTTTTTCATAAATTGCAATGGCTTCTTTTCGTCTTTCAACCTCATCAGCAATTTGTCGATATCTTTCGCATGCTGTCCAAAAGTAAATGTTTTCGCCCGAAAACTCCTTCTTCAGAAATTCGGCAAAAATTTTAAGACCACTCTGGTCATTTAAGAGCAATTCAAAGCTTGTTCCCCATACTGTTGGTCCAACATAAGAAAAACGATCTTTATTACTGTCAGTATCGACAATTTTCGTATAAACGTCACTTTCAGATGCCGTTAGTGATGATGGTCGTGGTCTCTCTTCATGCTGACGTGCTCGCAAGGATGATTGTCCCCAACGTTTAAAAGACGAAGATGGCAAGTCATTTTGAGATTGCTTAGACTGCAAAGTAAGGAGGCAAAAAACAAAAAAAAAACACAGTAAATTAGTAATGGTACGAATGCAATCGAAACAAGACAAGATAAAAAAAAAGTAGAAATTCTATTCAAATTTTAATATAAGGCTTACAACGTGCTTTGAATTTTCACAAATTTCATTTTCTTTAATGTAGCTCATTAAAAAATTTAAATCATGCGATGTGACCAGCAAATTAGCTGATATTGTTTTATAATAATTATAGTTGGGCATTTAATTGTTTCTTCTCTCTCCTCTACTCGTGTGGACCGACTAATTAACTCTCACAATCACTTAGGTATTCACTAAATAATAACATTAATATGCTACTCCTTCCCATAAACAACAATGTTGATTAAAATAAAAAGAAATTTCACTTCATTTGATGTCTTCTTATTTTAACCAGTTCCACAAATTTCATAAGTTTTAAATTTTACGACCCTTAAATTTAATTTTATTATCTTCTGTAAGATTCGCTTTTTTCTGCATTTTTGTTATGTCCATCTACATAGCGACATTAATAATCATTTTAGATCAACATCAGCATACTCATTTAGTAACTTTGTGGAATTTTTGCAACACTGTATTTTGAGCAACAGCCATGATAAAAAATTTGTTAGATTGAACCAACATTATTTAAAAAAAAAGTCTGGCATTTTATACATGCTGGCAGTGCGTTAAAATTTCAAGAGTTTCAACGTGAACAATTTATTTCAAAAAACAAAAATTTTTGAAACACAAGTTGACCAAGTTACATACTATTTATGTTCCAATTGTGTACGAGAAAGAGACCCATCAAAATAATGTTCCCAATAGATAATTCTCAAAAAGATAATCTTACTATGTGGTCAGCAATTAAACACGGTTTTGAGATTTTCCGCTGACGAATTCTCAAAACAAATACAATTAACCAAAGACAATATTCTTTGAAAAAATTCATGTCAGACTAGCATTGAGCTTTATACCCCGCTGTGGTTCCATTTTTTTTCTTCTAAAATAGAGCAATTGAAGTAATGATGTAATAAATTCCAGATGTGAACGAGAATAATGAATAAAAATTATTAATTTTAGGGGGCGTTCACTTAATACGTCAAGAGAAAAAACGACTTTTTAAACATCCCTCCTTCCTCCTGTAACAAACTTTGTTAAAAAAATTCTTTTGTTTAAACTATAACAGAATTTTAGAACCCCTTTAAAAGCATGTAATAAGTGTCTCACGATATTAATTAAAAACAGCACAAACACATAAAGAACGTCCATTGTAGAATTTATCTCAATTTTTAATTGCTCAACTTTGTTCACTCCTGCACCACTCACTTAATTAATCTTTGATTGCATTTCATTCATTAAATTTATGCTCCATTAATGATGGCTCAGAACGCTTTTTATTAATCAATTTAACTTAAATGGTACTCAATTAATTTCACGACTAATCACTTCATGAATCCATCATAATTGATCATTAATATTTTTTTGTGAAAAAGTTTAATTCAAAATACAAGAAAATGAAGCGTTTTGCAAAAATCAAATGTGTAACGAATACATAAGAATGTACATAAAGTGAGCAAAAACATATTAATTAGTTCAATTTTTCATAATCTTTGAATTGTTTGTGAGCATTCATTCTCTCAAAATCTTTATGCTCAAAAATCGAGTTAGTTTAGGGTAAATACTTTTGAAATTTGCACAACTTTGCACATGAAAATTTCATTTGCTTAAAACTTTTTAACAGATTATTGTTAAGGCTTAAAAAAACTTTTGAGCTGTTGAACATTGTGGAAATTTTCATTTGCAACTTCTTTCTGAAAGCTACGATGGATATCAGCAGAGATTTAAGCGTTTTATTTTTGACTTTTGAAATTTGTATGAAAATTTTAAAAATTTGCACAAAAAACTTGTACTTTTTTTTGATAGCAATCCATGACATTTTTGTATTTAATTTATGTAAACAATTATTTTTTTTTATTTTTTGGGGAAAAGAAATAATATTTTCTTCTGGTAATTTTCAAATCTAATAACAGTATTACTGATTTCTTTTTCTAATATCGTCACATGCATCGTCGGTGCAAATTAATAGGAAAATTGAAGAAAAAAATTCAAAAGTCAAGCACAAGAAATCAAAACAGGATCCATTATATGTAAAACTATAGAATCAAGTCCTTGAAATGGATATCTCATATTTAAGATGATTTTGTTCCTATCATTCATCATTAAAGACTACTTCTATTTTTAAATTCGCAAATTATTATTTTATTTTAATGCCATTTCTTTGCTTGATCATGGATATATCCTTAAGAAACAATTTAACACTTGCTGCTTTTAAAATTTGAATTTTACAGTCTACAGCCTACATTCCCATTCATCGCTATCTTCATTTCAGGCATAAAACATAATAATGTTTTGAATCCGAAAAATTAATGTTTACAACAAAAGAATTAATGTTTACATCGAATTTTTCAATACATTCTACGATTAAAACTGTGCAAACTTCAAAAGTTTCGACAAATTTTTGTGCAAATTTTAAAAGTAAAAAACAAGTTTTTTTAAAAGTGATTTTTTTGGCTTATTCTTTCACAAAAGAAATATTTCCAAAATTTTAAACAACTTAAGAACTACATTTTTTGATATCAAAATATTTGATAAAGCCACTGATTGTATCCCAAAACTTTATATTTTGCAAAGTTTCGTTTTGTATGAAAAATTGATCGCTGAAGGAATTCATCTTCCTGATGCCTTTAGACAACTTAAAATGGTACAACAACATTTGTACAATAACTATACAAAGATTTTGTGAAGAAAGTATTATCAGAAGTAGATATTCTGGGAGAAATTTGTATTTTTTATTTTCATATGAGTGTGCAAATTTCAAAAGTGTGCAATTTTCAAAAGTATTTACCCTATACAAATTAAGTGCACTACGTTCGTTTCGCATCGAAAATTCTACACAATTCAAGATAATAATTTAAAAAATAATATTAATGAAATTCTCCTCCAGAATTGAATTAATATCACTTGTTTGCTCGCTTTTATAATTAATAAGTTAATGGCTTTTGATTATCTTACTTTCATTAAACATTTTGATTCTTATTAATCTCAACTCATATTGAATTGTAATAAAGTTTGTTAGTCAATTTAAATTGTTTTTATATCTTTTACACTTATATGCATTATTAGCTAGGACAGTGTATTCCAAACTTTTTTGGTTGATGGCTCAATTTTTAGTCAAATGTTTTTCGCGATATTTTTTTCTGTTTAATAAAGTGCATAAAAAGCTTAAAAATTTAGTTTCAAGACTTTTTTTACAGTGTGTGGTACTCAAACTTAAAGGTTACGTTAAAAATTTTTTGGACCAGAAAATTTTAATAAATTACTTTCAATACAAAAACAGAACTCGCGACAAAGATTCACTGTTTTAGGATTTCTTAAATTGTGAACATCAGACTTTATACAAATGAGAGCAAACGAGGAGTTATTTTGGCATTTATGATAATTTTTAATAAGAAGGAACACGCGAAATGGTTAAATGTACACTATTTTAGTAATGGACGTTAGAACTGTAAAATGCAGTCACAAGCTTTTCGATGAACTTTTACGAATTTGGCTCATTTATATATAGATATATAGCTGAAACGCAGTCGTAAAAATTATAAACAAAAAACCTAATTTTAAGTTTATCAGCTCGAAGCAAATCATACGAGTGTAAATGCCATGACAAACATTTTATAACATGCAAGTTGTTGTTCTTTTTTCAATTATTCACACGATTAGCAAAAATTATGGATATATCAATGAAACCTGATACACAATCGAATGAAATATAAGTTGTAATTGTAGAAAATTGTACGAATCACAATATTTGCTAATGATACAACGTTAAAGTCAATCATTATGATCAACAAACATGAAGCATTCCCGCAACAATCCATCCATCGTCTTTTGTGATTAGAAACTCGAGGCTTTTTAGGTCTTGTCTTGCCTCGTTTTTATTTTTCTTTTTCATGTCCAAAAATTAAGCGACACATTGGAATCTCTAGCTTGTACATTTATTTATTTATTATACATGCTTGCGAGAACATCACTATTTAAAGATTTTTTATAAAAAAAAAATGAATATTGAAAATAACTTGAATGATTTTTATTCGAGCGATATCTAGCGCACTTCAATCATTTAAGAAAAAGAAACTCCTATTAAAGACAATTTTAATTTAGCACTTTATATATAAGCACATAAGTCTAGCGTTGAGATGTGTATATGCTCATTTAGTCCAAATAAAACTTTTTATAGCTTTTAACGATAAATATTCTATATACTATCAACTCTCAGCCTTCATAAAATTAAATACAAAAATTATTTGTATATATGAGAGGTAAAATAAAAATGATTAATTCTAAAATCCAGAAGATTAACATACATGAGATACTGAAGAAACTAATAAAGAAGATGAGAACTGGTGAGAACATTTACAAAAGTCGACCATGAGAAATTATTTTATATCCACCAAAAGCGAATGAACAATAACAGAACGTCGTCATCAAAAAAAAAAGTAATCTGTGTTGCATAAAAAAATTTAATTAGAAAGAAGACTTTCTCACGACAAAGATAGAAATCGCATGTTTTTTTTTTACTTGAACCAAAAATTAATACATGTATGCATCTAGACACAAAACAATGTAGATTTTTCCAATTTACGAAATTTGCATACAATCAACAGAATAGATATTAGCATGTAATTAGATTTTTGTGCTATGTGGTTCACATTTCATTGAGAAGTTTGAAAATTATGACTCATGAATCATAAAATATATTGATAGTGACTTTTATGTCATCATCGTTGTTTTTTTTTTTTTGAAGAATGTCCAATAAAGAATAATATTTATCAATCTATAACACTTTTGTCAAGGAGTGTAACTTTATACATTTTTCAGTCCCAAGAATGGAAAAAAGATTCAAGCTTTTTACTTTTTATGCCAGTTAAAGTTTCACCAAA